GATAATACTTTGGTATGACAGTTATGTGGTGTCTCAGGAAGTTATGTCCCTACATCTAAAAAATCTACCTATGTTGTTTAAGATGAATATCTAATTGGGTCCCAAGGATTTAAATGGATCTTATTCTCTTCTAGGTTGTGTTAATGCTTCATTGTTGTACAGCTGTTGGAGATTTGGAGTTGTTTAGTATGTAGATCGATCAGTCAGGGAATTAAAAACAGTTAAAGACTGCAAATTAGGTTTGCAGTAAGCATCAAAAGAAAGAATCAAGAGGCTCTATGTGTTGTCCTCGCTAGTTAATATGGGAGTTTTGCCTTTAAGGTTCCATGTATTCTTAATTCCTGCAATGGTGGTATCTAAACCAACTTTTTTACTTGTGCTGTTGTTTTAGACTTGTGTGTCTTTGTGATCTGGCTTGAGTGTAAGATGATTCAGTCTCACTGTTTTTATAGTTCTTAGAAAGAAAACGAGTAGAATCCAAATCTGCATCTGTATATATGCTAGTTTTGGTTTGCCTTTATTTTTTTGGTTAAATTTGACTGACACTAGAAAGTAGCTGACCTAGTAGACTATTCGAAAGAAATGCTGGCTTGTTGCCGCTTACTCCATAAAATGAAAATATTTAGAGACACGGCATATTACGTACATACATGAGATGGTAAAGTTCAAAATTTTTCTCCAGTTTTTCTAATCCATTCACCTAGTGAGGGAATTAATTTTCTTGACGGAGCTGTTCATTGTGAATTTATGAGGTCTGCAAAGTTATTGAGAGGTAAAAACTTACGAGTTGTAAGACCTGTTATACTTGGATCTTTTGGAATTCAAATTCAAAACTGTTAAAAATGGGGCTCAAAAGTTAGACAGTTGAGAAAAAGACAATAATGACCACATATTTGCCCATGAGTAAATTCTATTGTAATACAATGTCATGGAAAGTCATGCTGTGAACTTGTGCATGTGTAAGTGGTACCGGAAACATATATGATGGTTTTTGTATGTGATATGTAGCCTGGTCACTTTGTTATATTTATGTACCTATTTTTCTGGCATAGTAAATATGCATTTTTGACTGGGGCGTTGCTCTTTCTTAAGGTGTTTGCTTTAAAAACTTGGCCTTCTAATCGCACTCGAGGCATGTACCATAATTTGCCTTGACAGCAGCCCATATCTGCCTTATGTGGATGCTAACTCAAGGAGAAATACAATCTAACGGTGGAAATCCTGCTACATGGATGCTTTAAGCATAGGGAGCCACATGCATTTTATTGCCTGGCCTTTGCTTCTTCTGTGAAGTAGTGTTTTCCTTGCACTTGAACTCAAGACATGTGAAATCACAAAAACTGCTGTTTGCTGGGGAGTATTTGGCTTGGAAATGCCTAATTCATGAGCCCTTGGAATGACTTTAGTCCCTACCTGCAACCTTTTTAGTAATGCTGTGTATATGTCTAACTTTTGTTTTAAATTGACTCCTTTACTGTATTTTGTTGTACAAATCTGAATCAAAATTAAATGGATCATATGTGGTAAAAAATCTCTCCTCTCAGTTACAACAGGAAAAGCAAACGGAAAAAGAGGGCCTTCAGGTTATTGTTCAAGAATAAGATCACAATGAATATAGTGAAATTAATAGGTTCTATTGCAAAGATTCCTGAATCTGAAACATGTATTGTATGCTGGAAATGGTTGTGGCAGTGCCAGAGTTAAGGCAAAGGTTACATGTCAGCCGCTACTTGCCTAACATTGACACAAAACTAGTAGTAAAAGCTTTTAGGTTCAGACAAATGAGAGCGCCACAATATAACTGACACCTTTTTGTGTGTGCGTGTGTCTCTCTCTTTCACTACATTTCTTTTGTGGTTGTTGGTGTCAAATCTTCCCTGGCTGCATCATATCTGGAATTGGTATGAAAAGCTTTCTTTATCTCTGCTTGCTTTTGTCTAAGTTCAGTAGTCATGTTACATAGTAATCTTATGTTGGTTGGTTGATTTATTGATCTGATCCATCTACTTCATTAGGGATAAACAAGCAGAAGGTTCTGAGGTGTTTTAGTATCTAATCCGGAAGAAAACTAGGTTGTCTTAATTTGTCTTAGCATATGTATATCTAGCCATAGACAGTTGAATTTTCATTGGTAGATCATTGATTTTGGTTGGATAATGCATTTTACAGCAAGGAATGCTATAAAATCTTAAAAGAATAGTTAAAAAAAGAAAAAAGAATATTAAACCTTTCCAACAAATATCATTAAATGATAATGCCACTCTGATATTCACTTTAAGCAAGTCTTGTGATAATGCCACTCTGATATCACAGTGGCATTGTCATTTAAGCATATCATTTACTTGTGATAAGGCCACTCTGATATGCTTAAAGTGAATAAAAATCATTTAAAGTCTTGCTTAAATGATAATGCCACTTTAAGCTGCTTAACATTGCTAACTTAACACAGAAAAATGCTCTGGCTATTATTATTACTATTATTGTGGTCTAGTTGTTTGATATCAAATAGTGGAAAAATAGAGCCCACCAATGGGGTTATTATGTACTCTGGCAAGATAAGGCACTCTAACTGCATTTTGTCTATAAACTCCAGGACTGTTGTGTTTGTTATCTAATAATTTTCAATTGCTGGAAGTCACAGTATTGAGTTATTCTTGGTTGTTTGCTTTCATAGAAAATTTAAAGAAAAAGTCTAGGATATGTAGACAGAAAAAAGAGGGAAGGTTGAGATACCCATAAGGAGCTTCCTATAGTTGATGAACTTGCTGCTATCTACAAACTTCATATGTTAAAGTTTCTCACTCCCTCTGCATGTGTTCGGCTCTCTTTGCTTTGTCCTGTTACTTTAGGACTTTTAGTTTTGCTTTCTGTTCTTCGAAATAATAAAAATACCCAGATCAATAATATGCGTTGCTTTCTCGTCCGTTTGGATAATGTCCTGTTCTGGGGGTCACATGTTGGTTTTCTCAACATGAAATGCAAATCAAGCTTATATCCAGAAACCAAGTCAGTGTTCTTTTGGCATTAACCTGGTCTTGAACCTTTCAGCTCAATTTCGATTGAAGGCTTAGATGAGGCTATTCTATGAAATATGTTAAACTAAAATATGCCCTACGAGTACACTTTCCAAATCAAGATGCAGTAACCTGTTTTATCCAATGAGTGTAAATTTTAACTTCATGCAGCATATATTATTCAAAAGTGTGCTCCCTGCTGTTGCAGTATCATCATCGACAGCTACTTCTTCCTGAATACATGATTCTTTTATCTGTATCATTGGGTGGTGCCTCTAATATATCAAAATGCATCCGTCGGGTTCTGTTTTGTCCATTTAACAAGTTAGTTGCCCAGCAAGAATACTCTAGACATGTACATTGAAGCTCTGGAGGTGGAATTGCTATGTGGCATGTGCACAGGTCGACTTGGTGCTGGAGTGCCTCTTCTTACCTCACCATGTTTGCATCGGGCTTCTGCCCCTCCTGGATCAAAATTTAAACTCAGTGTTTTTCCTGTTCTACTCAATTCCCTCACTAGACCATAATCTCTATCTGAAATCCATGCCCTATAAATCAACTCGACCACATCAAAGCTTGATGTTTGATCTGTATTTGGATATGACAATGGTAACAAATACTAACGTGCATCCACTCAAGATGCTATACATTCTTGGTGGTCATCTGAAAAGCAGCAGCTGTAATTTTTAGAGCATGGGGATGAAATTAAGCTTTCTTTTGATGCATGGATTTAATAAATATTGAATCGGAGCGATTAAGGAGAAGCTGGAGCGATTTAACAATAATCTCAGCTCGTCTAAGATTCTGATAGTTGTGAAGTTGAAAGTTGTATGTTAGATGCATTTTAAGTCTCACACAGATATGATTGGCTATCCTCTGTTACAGTTTCATCTGGAGTGCATCTATGCCGGTGTGGGAAAACGAGTTGCATGCCCAGTTTGTAGATTTCCAGCAGATCTACGAGGCTGGGTGAATGCAATGGTTGAGCACGGATGCTTGAGTCTTTCAAGAGACTTTTGCATGCTGCAAACTCTATGCAATAAACAGTGCTACGTTAATGCACCTTATTCTGGACGATGTATGGCTTATGTAAAAACACAAGCCGAATGTATACATCTGTTCTGTACTCCCAACCATGGATATAGTTTAATGCTATTACTATAAGAAGTGGTCTGCAGTTATTAGCTGAAGAAATGCTAGAATTGTATGTAAATGTTGGCTGGCTCGATCTGCATTTATCTGAAGTAGAATAACCAATAGCTTCATTCCCATTTCCAAAACAACAAAGGATTTTCTGTTACACGACCTTGTCATGTTGCCTGCAAATCTAACAAGTCAATCCATCATGAACAGAGAATTTAGTCGCTAAGCCGTGATTCTTGCTAATTCACCAAGCGGCCGCGCGACAAAAGCTAGGGGTGTCGGGCCAATTCATGGAAAAACTGTTATGGGCTTCTTTTATTTGTGCTGAATGTCAGCATTGTTTATGGGCTTCTTGTACTAGCACACAAGGCGATTTGTTTAGATTAAAGAAGGTGGCCGAGTTGCAAGGACGAGTTATCCTAACCTTGGCTACCAAATCGTCTAGAAAAGATTTTTTTTCGTTTGAATGACTCGAATACAATTTGTACTTTTTCCCTTCAAAATAGATAGATTGACAACAAATTTCAATTCCATGCATCACTGAAACAAATTTGCACATCATCTTTCTGTGAAAGCGTTCTACCACAGGATTTTCGGCCAAACCATCTCGGTTCTACCCAACGATCATTGTGAAAACACAAGACATTTCTTGTTTCCCTGTATTAAATCAAAAACCCCTTGAGCTTTTTGAGACATCCATGCTCTATCTCATGTCCACTGTGCACGAAAACAACTGAAACTCTTTTTTCTTGTAGTCCCTGCTCGCCACAAGCTTTCTGTAATATTCTGTACTATACGTTGTATCCTATTGTACGTGAAATGGCCTGGATTGTTTGTCAACGCACAAATGATAGCCGGCCAGTAGAAATTATGAAGTCCAGGATGTGTAGTACAACCTTGTAAAAGTCAAAGCTGTACTACAAAATTTTAGCAACAGAGTCTTGTTGTCATTGATCCTGAAGCTTAATCTTCATGAAGTACACTCCTATCCATTATAAAGCGTACGACGAAAATGTTAATTGTTTTATAATGTCAATTGTTTAAACAACAAAGTTAATTTCCTCGAGAGCTTCATTGTCGTACATGGCTTCTCCCGTGGACCGCCTGTCCAAGTCAACTTTCTTGATCATACTTCTCCTTTCAGTTTTATCCCTCCAATGCTTCAGGATTGGTGCTCATGGCGGCGATGATCAAGAAAGCAGTAGTGATGGTGACAACACAGATCTGCACTCAAAAGGGCTAATTCTCGTCAAAATCTGGTGTTTGATCATTTTCTTTGCTAGCACATTTGCTGGTGGAGTCTCCCCTTATTTTTTCCGATGGAACGAAAGCTTCCTACTTTTCGGAACTCAATTTGCTGGAGGGGTGTTTCTGGGAACTTCTCTTATGCACTTCCTGAGCGACTCAACCTCGACTTTTGCTGATCTAACAACAAAATCTTATCCATTTTCTTTCATGTTGGCATCCGCGGGCTATCTTCTGACCATGTTTGGTGATTGCATAGTGATCTTGGTCACAAAGGGTGCTGAGAAAGATAATAGAGTCGAAGTTGAAGAAGGCAGGGCAGCATCTGGGGGATACGGTGAAGAAGAGGGAATGCATCACGACCCAGTTTCTGTGAAAACGTCGTCAGTTGGGGATACCATACTTCTCATCCTAGCTCTGTGTTTCCACTCAGTTTTCGAGGGGATTGCTGTTGGAGTAGCGGGTAATCAACAATATTTACACATTTGAAACAAGTTAGAGATACGTAATATTATTGTTAATCGTCGAAACTTCTGCACTTGGCAAACTTTTGTTTGTGTTCTAGAATCACGCGTAACATCTATAACACAATCTTCTACCATTTCTGTGCCACTTCTAGCCAGCTGATCTTTACTAGCATGACTTAAAGTTGCATGGCATCAAATCTCAATTATCTATTTGTTAAATGTTAATATGCGTGATTACTCTAACCTGATCATCATCGAATTTTTGCTCGGTATTCCGAGAAGTGCATGTTATGCTCTGTTGATCAGATCCTTTCTCTGTATCACAAGATGTATATAACGGGTTCAATGCCTCAACTCCTCCTTGTTAGCCAATTATATTGCACTTTCAGCATAAAGTTCATTAGGGCTCAAATGTCTTGAGTTATACACCATTAACTATCAATTTCATCATGAGAATTTAAAACTAAAAGAGACCCTTCGTGAAACCAGGGACGGAGCCAGAAATTTATTTTTGGGGGGCTGAAGTGTATTAAAAAAATTTTTTGTGACGAAATAAATATATTTAATAAGTAAAATTTAGAATCAATAATTATAAAAATAATAAAAACATATAATTATACATACCCAAAAATTTGTTATTGATTAACATTTGAAGTATTGGTAGTTGTTGCACTCAAATAATTCAATTCTTTTTTTTTTAAGGTTGAGAACTAGATATAGTAATTTATTTTTTTTTGAGAACTAAAAGTGCATTTTTTTTTCAGTTTGGTAAAATATGACGACTTTGTAAAGCTTAACACCTGCTTGAGAGGAAAAGTAAACACAGATGGTTTACTCAGGAATAGAAAAATAATGACAAGTTGAACAACAGAAAAGAACATTACAATGTACTATGTGTCTAGCTTGTGTACAGAATACAGTCTTGATCCAATTGTGATCCATGCCACTTAGACTAAGCAATAACTGTTAAAATTCAAATTCATTCACAAATGTAATAAGGTCTCCAAAAGAGAGGATGGGAAAGACTTTGAGAAGTTCCATTTGCAGTGGGCAAAGACTTGACGTACTCAAACTAAACAAAGCTGGATATTTGGAACTTTCTTGACTTTAGGCTGCCCATCCAGCATTACTACTCAATTCTGCACAGACTGGAAACCACCTCAATTGCCATAAATTCCATACAAAAGGTCAATGTCCACTTTGGGGACCAGGCCAGTTAAGAAGCACCCAAATAATGAAAGCACCACACCCATCCATTAATTTAACGTCGCGTTATCAAGCTGGCATATTGCCCATGAATTCTTCATCCTCTTAGCCAGGAACCTTCTTGTCTCGTTCTCACTCGGCCAAGTATAAAAAGACATTCCAATGCTGATGTCCTCGCTCAAATCCAAAGCTATCTGATCATATACTAGCATATAAATTAACCCCCGCTTCAATTCTTCTCTAGAATTTCACCTTACGACTTTCATACTAGGGATTTCTTCCAGTTAGTATTATTACCAAAATCTAAACCAATGGCCGCCGGAATCCCCTATATATAGGGGGTTTTCCGGCGGCTTGGGGGGGCTTAAGCCCCCACCAGCCCCCCCTTAAATCCGTGGCTGCGTGAAACATTGGCTCAGCTACCAAGTCAGATGCATGGAAGAACCTGTGGACAATTTCACTGCACAAGATATTTGCGGCAATTGCAATGGGGATTGCCCTTCTAAGGATGATACCAAAGAGGCCATTTTTGACGACAGTAGCTTATTCATTTGCCTTTGCTGTTTCGAGCCCAATTGGGGTGGGCATAGGCATTGCCATCGACGCCACTACCCAAGGGCGCACGGCTGATTGGATTTTTGCCATCTCCATGGGAATCGCCTCTGGCGTTTTCATCTACGTTGCCATCAATCATCTCGTCACCAAAGGCTTCAAGCCGCATGCTAAACTCTACTTTGACACTCCATTTTTCAAGCTTCTTGCGGTGCTTTTAGGTGTGGGAGTCATAGCTGTTGTTATGATATGGGATTAGTTAGTTACTGTTCCATTGGCGAGAAAAATGATCAGCACGGAAAAATTACCTTGTAAATCAACATTTGATTGATTGCTTTCAAAGATGTATTTTCCTTGTAAATTTGGGAGTGTAATTTCATCATCAGTTGCTAAATGTAAATACAGCAGATGCAGCTACTCAATTGTTCACGAACAATTGGACGTGCATTAACTGCAATGGTTCTTTGCCTGGACGTTAAATTGGTGGTTGTAAAGCAATGCAATAAGCTGTAGAAAGTCTACTTCCATACCAAAAAAAAAGAAGTTTCTACGGGCACAGTTTGATTTTGCACTGCCCATTCATTGCTTCGAGTATTCTTCAAATAGCTTAACGGAGCAAAAAGCGACTTGATAGTCTAGTATACTACCATATATACATCTACTTGTACATGAAAGGCACAAATATATTTGTAAGTTTCTGACCCTGGAGTGCTCCAGAAGGTGGATAGTTGTTGCAACTACAAAACTAGTCGACCCCCAAAAAAAAAAACTAGTCTTTCTCTCCCTCTTAACTTGACACTCTCAGTGGCCACACAAGAAAAGAACCATTCAGTCTTCAAAACCCCCCCCCCCAAAAAAAAGGAGGAAAAAAATGAATAAGTAATCATGTGTGCATGTGGGCTAATTCTGGTCTTGGTCAATCATATATTAAGATGCTGTAACTAACTAACAACTTCACCGTAAAAAATACTAATGAAAATTGAGTACAATTCCATCCCTTCTCTTACTTGAAAGAAATTAGGTGGGTAAAGAGTCGTCTTCTTCATGGAATTTTAAAATCCTCAAATAGTCGATCGGGGGAGATGTTACAGCCAACCCGACCCCAGTACGTATCTTTGTCGCCCTGAAATCTTGCAAGGCTTAGCAATTTTAAAGCACCGGCCGGCCACTCATCCGTCTTGGCTACTATTCCTTTCACGCGTACATTAAATCACTACAATACAATTTTTTTATAAAAAAATTTCACAAAATAGCAATCCAAACGGGAGCGTTCATTTAAATGTTTTTCTTTTCAACCTCTTGTGAATGACAACCATGGATTGGAAGGGAGAAGGTTTACTGAATTCCAAGAACCATGGACTTACATTTTTTGCTAGACAGATCTTGATTTTTTTTTTATTAATGTAAGTGTGAGAAGGCTCGAATTTAGAATCACCCAACCCGTCAAATCTTCTTCATTTGTGATCCCATATTTAGTTGATAAACATCTACATATATATATATATATATAAACTTACTTGCGTGCAATAGAAAGCATGTAAGCGCGGTAACTATAGTGTAAATTAATAAAATAGCAAATTGATGGATCAGAACTCACCATTTGGTGAAAGTAATCAAGATGAGAGAATTAGCTGTGGTCAAAGTCTGCCCCCAGACCAACCGAGGCTAGCTTTTCGGGCAAATCTTGTAATTAGTCAAAAAAAAAAAAACCGAAACATGACTAAATTTAACAAAGCATAACGAACGAAGGATCGAACGAACCAACTTATTCTTCAAAAAATAGGAAGTTGGGTCAAATGTCCTCTTCTCTGCGTCATCCGGGCTCTGGGAGAAGTGAACTGATCGATTTGGAGGAGTAGCTATCACTAACCTACTGGCGCATGCCTGCGGGTTCTACACGAGAATGATTAGCATGGCCATGAGCAAGACTTGAATTGTAAACAAGATATCTGGGACGGTAATTCTGGATTTGTCTTAACCAGCAAGATTAACGGTTGAAGTTTTTTTCCTTGCAGTGGTTACGTAGGCTAAGAGGGGCATGATTACAATTTTCAACAAGAAACTAAACACACAACTGCGTTGGTTATTGCTACCTAAATGTTGAGTTTGATCAAGTAGATGGAGGCTTAACGACACTAGGTAGCTAGCATTAGCAACTGCTGAGGTCTTATCAATTTCGGATTCAGATAATTTGACTTTGGCCACACTCGACAGTTCAGATGGACCATTAGCAGCTGGTGCATTCCGGTTTTAAAAAATTTCTCATCTTTTTTTTTTTTTTAAATTTAAATTTTATTTTTTCAGATACCCTTTTCGGAGAGTATTCATTCTGAATACCAAAGAAGAAGGAAGAAGCTAGCTAGCTCTTCTTTGCGAGGAAATTGAGACGTCTTAGTTTACCTAATCAACCAAACAAACAGTCCCTCCAACGTATATATAACTAGCCCTTCCTGTTGGAACATTCCACAATCAAACGAGCCAATCCAATCGAAAACATTCTCCCTCCATTCGGTCAAGATTAATCAAGAACAGCAGCAAAATTAATCAACCATGGCTGTCTCTCTTTATTCATTATTATCACCAACATGCTTCCTCGCTGGTGTTTCTTTTGTCATGAGCTGCCTTGTGGTGTTGGCAATTCCAGCCAGTGCAGCAGGGATCACAAAGCATTACACGTTTGAGGTACATCTTTCTCTTCTTTTATACATATCCTAGATCATATATGTAGGCTGTTTAATTTGCACGACATTAACGTAAGATAGAGTAGTTCACATTTTGCATTTTTTTGTTGTTGCGCAGATAAGGTTGCAAAACGTCACAAGATTGTGCCACACAAAGAGCGTGGTGACAGTAAACGGAGAGTTCCCTGCGCCTCGCATTGTTGCAAGAGAGGGTGACAACGTGCAAGTCAAGGTGGTCAACCATGTTTCCAACAATATCAGCATTCATTGGTAAGTCCCATTTTACCATTACCTACCTCTTTGTTACCAAAAAAACTAGGCTAATTATGTGGTTGATTTTAACAGGCATGGAGTCAGGCAACTGCAGAGTGGATGGGCAGATGGCCCCTCCTACATAACTCAATGTCCGATTCAAACAGGCCAGAGTTATCTGTACAACTTCACCATCACTGGCCAAAGAGGAACCCTGTGGTGGCATGCCCATATTACATGGTTGAGAGCCAGTGTCTATGGACCCTTCATCATCCTCCCAAAGAAAAATGTTCCTTATCCATTTCCCAAGCCCCATAAAGAAGTCCCTATACTTTTCGGTAAACTTCCAAAATTCAATTCCCACAGCAGACTTATGCACAATAATGTGGTAGTCCTTTACTAATTTTTTGATGAATCAAAACACAGGAGAGTGGTGGAATGCCGACCCTGTGGCTGTTGTTAACCAGGCACTTCAGACTGGAGCTGGACCAAACGTCTCAGATTCATACACCATAAATGGACTCCCTGGACCCTTGTACAACTGTTCTGCCAACGGTAGTAAAAATGGTTTCAAAATTGTTTCAAAATTGAACTATAAGCACCATTTATGATTTAACGGAGCCTTTTTTCCTATTGCAGAAACATTTAAGCTGAAAGTTAAGCCTGGAAAAACATATCTCCTTCGTCTGATCAATGCTGCGCTCAATGACGATCTGTTTTTCAGCATAGCCAACCATACACTCACCGTTGTGGAAGCAGATGCAACTTATGTTAAGCCATTTAGAACAGACATTCTCCTCATTGCTCCAGGACAAACCATCAATGTTCTCCTCGAGGCCAAACATCATTTGGCTAATTCCACTTATTTCATGGCAGCCAGGCCGTATTTCACAGGCCAAGGCACCATTGATAATTCCACTATTGCTGGATTCTTGAATACGGAAATCCAACAGGGTCTGTTTCTGGTTCCTCTTTCACCAACAGTTCAATTTACAAGCCTCCTCCCCGCCCTTCCTCCAATCAATGGAACCTCATTTTTTGCAAATTTCACCAGAAAGTTCCGCAGTTTAGCCAATGCCCAATTTCCAGCTAACGTGCCCAAGACAGTGGACAAGCATTTCTTCTTTACAGTTGGCCTAGGAAGCAAGCCGTGTCCAAAAATCAAACCTGTCAAGGGCCTAATGGAAGTAAATTTGCAGCTTCCATGAACAACATTTCTTTCAACCTCCCTACAACAGCCCTTCTTCAGTCCTACTTCTTTGGGAAATCCAACGGTGTATACACCACCGATTTCCCAAGTGTTCCCCTTAAGCCGTTCAACTACACGGGAACCCCACCCAACAGCACCTTTGTGGTTAATGGCACTAAGGCGGTGGTCGTTAAATTTAACAGCTCAATTGAAGTTGTGTTGCAGGGCACCAGCATTCTTGGTGCTGAAAGTCACCCTCTTCACATTCATGGCTATAACTTCTACGTTGTGGGGCAAGGTTTTGGAAACTTTGACCCTGAAAATGATCCTGCAAAATATAACCTTGTTGATCCCGTTGAAAGAAATACAGTTGCTGTACCACCCAATGGCTGGGTGGCAGTTCGGTTCCTAGCAGACAACCCGGGTGAGTGTGTTCTGAAGTACATACATCAGATTTCACCGAACCAGTTTAGCTTACCAGATTACATAAATACTATCTATATTGACAAACTGAAAAGGTGTACCATATTGCCTCAGTTCATTCATTATATTTTCGACTCAGGACGTCTTAATTGAAACAACTAATAGTATGTAGAATTGTTAACGTGGTTTTACGGTGTGGATCAGGGGTTTGGTTCTTCCATTGCCATTTTGACGTCCATCTGAGCTGGGGGTTGGAGATGGCATTGATTGTGTTGGATGGAAAGCTCCCAAATCAGAAGCTGCCTCCGCCACCATCTGATCTTCCCAAGTGTTGACCTCTGCTCTAATTTTTCGGCGGAATTATGCATAACTTATACATTAATTTCTGAATTGGACCCGGCTGTTACCTTCAATTTTTCAAGACACAGAGACCAAAGATTAGGAGATGCGGGATGGGATATTGGGACTGGATTGCCTTTTTGCTTTTTAATTTTCATCTTCTCAGGTTTTGTGCTGTTCGTTGATTTCTCATTGTATCATCTTGGTTGAATGTATTTTTTTTCCTTTCCTATATTTTCATTTTTGTTTTTTTCGGCTGAATGGCCCAATGGTCATGTAATATTAATAATACTCACGGATCCGCTCTTCTCTTCTTTTATGTTATGAAGCCTAATAAATTTCCTGATTGACCATATAACTCTCTGTCTCTCTTATCTTTTCAGTTTTAGCCCCATTTATACTCGGGCCACGTTTCTAGTCTGAATTTTGATCCCTCCATATTCCAATCGCATTATCAAATAGCTAATACTATTAGTTTTCTTAAATAACAAAAAGAAACTCTATTATATTACTCACTATTTTACTTTACAGAGTGCTCCAGAGGAGTATTAAAAAAATGTTGCGACACTAAACAGGGCAAAAAACTTAGATTTAGACATAAACATAAAATTTAACAAAGTAATGTCACATCATATTCTTAATTGATTTTGTGAAACGTGAGGGATGAAAAAATTCATTTTGTGGAATGTGAGTAACTATGGGTCAGATTATATGAAATGTGATTTAACAATTTTGTTTCTGAAAAATGATCATGTGCATGACATGTAGTGGATTCCGGCCAAAAACTAATCGAACGTTTAGATATGGAGCAAATTTAATTTATGTGAATTTGTAACGGACGTAAAATTACACTTTTAAAAATAAAGAATAAAAAAGTATTTTATAAAATGTGAAAAACATTTTGAACGATTTAATTTCCGGTGAGTTTTACCTGTATACAAATCATATTGTTTCGGTAATTTCGCAATTTTATACGGATACATCGCTCGACTTTCTCTGATTACAGCGAGCGAAATCTGCCGGTTGAAGAAGCTCAGACCGGACAGGCTAGCTGTCTAATGTTCTTTGTCCTCTCTTTCTGGTCGTCTTTTTCTTTTTTTTCTTTAATTCTGGTGAATGGTTTTATCTTCAGAATCTGGAACAAGGGGCAGATTTTTGGGTTTTATCACCAAAATAACTCTCCTTCTAAAAAATATACCCAAAGTAATCTAATTTAAAATTTTATTACCTTTATAATCTTTTTTTTACCACATAGGTTGCACATGTGTCGGAACAGAGATAGAGACACACTCTATTTCTTTTTTCCATCTAATATCTTTCCCGATTCTCTCTCTCCGTTTTTTTTTCCTTTCATTATCATTTCCTTGTCAAACTTAATTTTGAGAAGTCAATATTTATATTAATAGTATATAAAAATTAATTATCATCCTTGATAATATCAAGGTAAACAAAGATTATTCTCTTTTCTTTTCTATTGTGCAATTTTTGGAACATTGCTATGGCGTTCAAAAAATTTTTGAATGTTAATTGTATAACAAATGATTTCTCACACCGTGTTTGTTTAAAATGTCTAGAAGAAAATAATCTAGCAGTTTTTAGTTTGCAATTGAAAACTTGAAAATTTCAGTTTTATTACATCTTGTAAAAGTTTTTTTCAAAGAGTAAGAAGGATAATATAAACAAATATGATAACCTTAAAGTTTTTGTAACTTTTTCTTGTTATTTCTTACAATTTTTGTTGCAATTTTGAATTTTTCAAATTTAATTTTTGAAAACATATATGCAATAGGTTTGATTCATTTCAAGAAAAACGTTGGACCAATCATAGTAAGGTCAATAATGGTAGAATTTATTTTAAATAATTATAAGAAAATTATCAAAGTTATGCAATCTTATTGTGTCTCTATGATTAAAAAAAATTAAAAATTTTAACTCATGTTGGAAACTATAAACTAGATCAAAACTTTCATTTCTTGTTATCCTACATGGCAATCGGGATAATAAGGTGGCAATAATAACATCATTATGGGACTAAAGTTTGAAAGTAAATCATATTGAGTATTTTTTAGAAAGAGTGTTATTTTAGTCGCGTCAGTTGGATAAACAACAAATCCATAGTATTAATAGCTCGATTATGCTGAATATGCTTTGTTTTTCCTTGACTAATATCGTGTGGTCAGGAATTATTGCCATTTTTGGCAATTCTTATTGATAAACATCATATCGTTGTTTGCTGCGAGAATGATCAGCTTGTTTCATGACAAATCTGCACCGTAATTAGGAAGCATGCAACAATCGGACAGAAGCGATTGAGTCAGTGATCGGAATTTGAAATTTTACAGAAAATTAACTAGCATGTAAATCGCAAATTGGTCAATCACAATTGAGAAAATAGTGTTCAAGAATGTTCAAGTTTAGCTGTGGTTCTATCAATTGACAAGAACCTGTGGTAATCTAATTAACTAACTCGATTAAAAAGGTTGAGGAGCGAAGGCATGGTGGTGCTGATAGTAAAATCCAAAAGCTATATGTTATCTTTGCACTAGTTTTTTTGGGGGTGAGTGATGGGCGGCGCGGGGCACAACGAATAAGAAAATGAATATGAGGCATTTTAGCAAGAAAAACATACATACTTTTTTTTTTTTTTTCGATACAGAGATGTCCGAATCAATCTTTACGGAGCTCGACTTTTAGCAAGAAAACATACATACAGTTTAGTAGAGTATTTTTGTACTACTTGGTAACTCAATTATTATATTATTTCTGTGGATTGCTGCTTTATTGTACTTTTTTAGTTGCTTTCTGATATAGTTCACTATTTTGTTGTGTTGCTGCATAACTCGCACTCAACAGCCACATAAGATTCTGTAGCATCATTTGATTTGGAATACAGTTTTCATCCTGGTGACCTTGTCTTGACCTTTGAGCTGCACTCCTTTGTAGTTTGCTGCCAGCAAAACATCTGGCTAGATTCCTGTATCCCCATTTAGTTGTGAATTGTGATGTTTCAGATGGCATGAGTGCTTCTTCGGTGATTGAAGTGAACTTGTACTTTTTTTTTTTTTTTTTTTGGTGATTCTGTCTTTTAGTTCCATTTCTTCTCTAGGTGTAGTGTGCTAGCAGCATTCCAAGTATGCTTAGCTTTGTTCCATTAAGCACTTCAAGTTTGTTTCTGATGCAATGCTTGTTAATTTTACCAACTACACTGGCTAGAAATTGATCACGGATCTTCGTTCGTATTGTTCAGAATTAAAGTTTGAAGCTCCATCTATCAACATGTGGACCAATCTTGAAAAGATTGTTTGTTAGTTTTGGTGCAGGAATAATGCTGCATTACATGTTGGCTATAGGACAAAAGTGAGTTAATAAGAGTCACAAAAAAAAAAGAAAAGAAAAAGACTTCTTTCCTTTCCACTGAATGAAATCAGCAAACTTAGCATCTAAACTAATTCTACAGAAGAACCAAAAAAGGCGCTAATTTTTGGAGCCTCCTATGAAACTTAAATTCTAAACTCACAGGCCCCAACAGATCAATGTGGGATGCGGGATGGGGAAAAAGGACTTCATTGGAAAGCATTTTCAACCGAAGCTCAATAGTTGCAATTAGTAGATTCTGGATCCGAGCGTAAATGATCGAAGGACTTAGGTTTGATAAACAATGGCGAATAAATGAATAGGAGTCGAGACATTGTCTGGGAGCCTTATCTTTCCTCTTGGTCAAGGTGATCATCCACTTCTTTTAATTCCTTACATAAGAAGGCCTAAGTCCACTCAGGACTCTCTATTATGTACGGTACCAAGTTGGTGGCACCCCCTGTTGTGTCAATGCTGGCGACTGCACGTTCAGGCACCGTGCATGCAATTAAGAGATCCAAGGATAGAGTTTTTCCAGTTTTTTGCTGCCCATATCTATATTCAGTCTTATGTCCTTCATGTTAGTTTTCATGCATATCTGTATGCAAGTTTGTTGTGTGCGTGTATATGTACAATTGGGGTACTTACCTACCATTTGGGATGTGTAAAGATCGAAATGAAGATAATAAAAGAGAAAAGAATTGGAGGGCACAAGATGTACCAATTTCTTCAAAGCATCTTCTGGCTGCAATTAATTACAGCTTATTAATAACAAGAAGCTAGATTTTGGCACTTCACTCATCGAAAAAGAAGTCTCAGGTTGGGATGAAGTGAGTTTTCCTGTGTTGAGATGCCTTGAATTAGATTTTCAACCCCCGCTGACCTTATTTTAGTCAGTAAACTATTCCGATTACAACCCTAATAAAATCTGATTTCCCTCAAGTTGTTCTTGTCTATTCTTGTTTGTTCTTCTGTTCCGCTGCATCTGTTATAACATCCTGCCTAGCGCATGCATTTGTCTGTCCACAATTTGGACATTGAGAATTGATTGGATTTAATAAGAAAATGTGATATCCTCAAAAGGCTTTGTTTCATAAACCAATAAGAGCTGGTAAGTAGTGATTAGCTTTATCGATAATCAAAGGGAAGAGTTGATAATGAAATTCTTTGGTTTGCAGGCTAATTGAGGTTTCCCTAAAGTTCTCGGTACAACTTTCAACCCATTCTATCAGGTTACCCAGAAAGGAGAGGAGGAGGGAGCTCTGTCAAACTTAGCGTGAACCTAAATTAATATTACAACGGTGGGATTGATGGTCAAGGATTATGAAATTTATGCACTGCAAAGATGCCAGGCATCGAAAATTGAGAAATTATGTCCCAAAAATACTCTAAATAGCCACTAGTCATCTCTTCAGTTCTCCGCACAACACCATGCACCCACACTTGCTAGTTTCCAAAACTCGTACTGCAAAAACTGAGGGGCTATATTATTATAGCACTAAAATACAATAACCAAGTTTTCATTTTCGTCATCACATGCTCTGGTGGTGGTATCACATTGCAGATCCCCAGTCTGACCTTTCTGGAAGGAGCACGCATTGCGGATTCCCCAGGTATATAATTTATATCTTCCTATGATTGCTAGTTCCAGCCGCTGTAGGGGAATCTTTTTTCACTAAGATACATGCTACTAAAAATGCGTATTGATGATTAACGCAATTTTCTATTAAAAACTAGGAAAAAAGATGGTCACATACGGCTTGCCAGCCGGACAGACCATGTGACACGGAATAAAAAGGCTAATTCAGTTTAATCAAAATCTACAAAATATGTTACATCTTGCCACAATGCGCAACATTTGAATGCTCATTGCTTACCGACTTAGAGTTGCGTTCTGATCTAGGAAGAGATAGATTAAGCAAGCAGGAAAATTTACTAGTATGATGTTGATTCTGTGGATGGCTGAAAAACTTCTTTGGGTTACATATATAAATGAACCCAAGATCACATTTATCTCAATCAGTTTGTTTTCATGAATCTCCATTCTTGTTCCAGCGGAGGAGCATCGCAATGCAGCGCTTTACGATGTAAAACTTTGCCCTCTGCTCTTTGGCCATGCTGCTACACTTGCGAGTGAATTCTGAACACCTTTTTGATGAGCTCCTCGAGAGAGAAGACTTGGTGGGAGAGCTCCTCTGCGAAGAACTTCTTGACAGTGGAGGCCTAACGGAAGAATTTTTCTGTGATGAACTCCGTGCAAGAGGAGACTTGGTGGTGGAGCTCTTCTGTGATACACTTTTTCTCAGATATGACTTGGAGGAGGATGAATATGAATGGTTATTCGGATCATCCCTGGACAGCTTCCATTTCTCATCCATGTAATGCTCCATTGATTACTACTGCTACTGCACTCTCTAAAACTTTCTGAAGTTTATTGATTCTCTAGCTCCGCCCTAGTACTTTTCTTTTACCCTAGTACTACCATAATAAGGGAAGGAGGGAGAAGGAGAATGTGGAGTGGGCTTTGGTGAGACAGAGGGTGGGTGAAATATTGGCTTGGCACCTATTTATAGCAAAATGGATACAGTGGTGGAAGGAGTTGAAGTGCGTGTTGACTGGTGCTTCTTTGGCAGCGGTAGCAGCACATGTTGCTGCTTACGTCTGTTTGTCAGGCTCCTGTCTGACTGTAACATTTGTACAAAACTCAAATTTACTGCACAAAAGGCCCTAATTCCATGTTGATATTCACCAAATCATTGTTTATTTCTACGTCCTATTTCAATTCATTAGATATTAGTTTCTGCTGGTTCTTGAAGCTGCTTCCGGAGATGAGAGATCCATCAGCTCTTATGGAGGTGCTGCTCCTCTGTATGGAGCTCCATGCAATAATTATTATTTTATCCTAATATCTTATGTATGTTGAGAAAAAAAAAATTTTTTTTCTGTTTCCTTTGAAACTTTCAACGGGCACTTCTCACTTGTACACACGAGGAACTGTTTCGTGCGACTGGATGTGAAATGCAAGCAGGATTTAAGAATTCACTGGCAGTGTGGGAATTCGATGTCCTTTGGGCTATGGTGGTCGGTGGTCTTCGGTCAATGAATGAATCTAATTTAGGAGCGCTGTTTGTCAGAGGATTTGCTTTGCAGTTATTTCATTCCAAATTTACCAACGAAAGATGGTAACTCCTCCTCTGTGTGTGTGTGTGTTTGTGTTCTCCCACTTTCTTTGGTGCCCAGAGATGCCGGTTTCAGGATTAAATTTTCAGAGTTACAGGTGCTTTTGCAGGACTGCATCATAGCGTCAAAAATGGGAAAAAGCCGCGGTGAATCTCACTCGCAGTAGCATTCAGATAGGAGGAAGGAGCATAGCATCAGACTCTGAAAAAAGTATTGGCGTAAAATGCAATCAAATGTCTGATGAGGGTTTTAGAGTTACTAGGTTGTTCGTTTCCTTTTATTCCTTACTGCTCCTCGTTTGCACTGGATTCCGCGTTCTTGCTACTCAATGATATATGCATTCGAATGAAGAAAATTCAAGGATAATAGCATCGAAAAAAGGGGTAGTGGGGGGCAAGATGTCGAAATGTACGACTTGTATTGTTTAATTTTACAGGAGATGAAAGACAACAACGTCGTCTGCCAAAGTGATGGGAGCAAGGACGATAACTTCTGAGCCTGATGAGTTGTAAGTTTGTTTTTCTATAATTGGATTTTTCCATGAATCTACCCCATGAAAGGTATCCGATGGCACGAAACTTTAATAGCAGCAAGCAGCTATGACCGATGCCTGTAGACCCCGGTTCTCTTGCCACGCTAGTCGGCCATTTTACTCTCTTGTACCGGCACTCTTTCAAGTTACATTTTTCTTTCATGCATCCATTCACATATTTTTGGGGAAAGTCGGCAGGCAAAGAACGTTAATAATAATAAACCACTGATGTGAAAGCAGAAATGTCAAATGAGACAAAAATTAAAAGGTCTCGTCCCGGTTAATAATTGAAAGCAGAAGTTTGCTGCAGTCTATAATAACCCATTGCACTTGGAGCCATCTTTGGGAGATAAAAAGAAGATGATCTATATGAATGGACCCAAACAATTGTGTGTGTGATTTTTTTTTTTGTCAGCAACCATACATTTGTATAACCCACTCTATCCTAATCTAGAGAGAAGGGAGCCTAAAGAGGCTATGGAAGGGACTAGTGGGTATACAGACCCAACTAGACCTTTGTATAACCTACTCTATTCTAATCTAGGGCATCCACTCTATTCTAATCTAGGGAGAGGGGAGCCTAAAGAGGCTGTGGAAGGGACTAGTAGATATACAGATCCAACCCGACCCCAGTACGTATCTTTAGGAATAATAATAGGCTTCAACTGGTGCATGATTAACCAAGTACTAATTGTCATTTAAACATGAACAAGTGTACTGCTAAACATAAATTTCCTAAAAAGGGAAAAAATAATGTGCCATTTCATTTTTCAAAACTAAATATATATATATATATATTAAAGAATTGTTCACACCCTTTTCATCCTTAACTGTCGGACCTAATATTCAAACCTGATAGTGGAGAGAAGTTCAAAATCCATTCCTTGGCCATTTGACCAACTCCAATGGTTCAAACTAAATAGTTAATCATATGTCTTTCAAAAAAAAAAAAAGAAAAGAGGAACTAATCGAGTGGAGCATGGTATGGACCGGTCCAAACAGTCCTGCATTTATATTTGTTATGGAATAAGTATGAAATTGATGTGGCCAACAAAGTATTATCTATATCTGCATACTACAGGAAAGGAAGCAAATCGAGGGGAAAATTTTAAGGCGTGACTTTTTTATGGTGCTGGGGAGAATTTTTCAAATCAGAGATTAACTCCAAGTAGCATTTGTACATTTTTCATATTTAACTAAGTAGTTGGAAACCAACAAAAGCTGAATATCTAACACATTCTTTTATTTGTTAATGCCACTCTCTTCGACTTTTTCACATATGAATCTCATAAAAGTACCCATGTCATTTTCATTGGATTTAGTACAATCCCCCCCCCCCCCTATAAAGCTGTAATTAAAAAAAAAAGAAAGAACAAAACAGAAGTGTCACTAATAAATGAGGAAATACCATTAACATTTGTTCCAGCGAAATTTGTATGATTTAAAATATGTTTAAAAAAAATTGTAATAAAACAATATACAATTTTTAAAAAATGCAAAATCGTAAGAAAACAGTTGCAGGACCATGGTTTTATGGGGTGGGTGAGGGTCAAACCAGATTGGTCAAACAGTGCTGCCTGATGGGTCAATTTTAATGTGTTGTTCCATATTGTTGAGTCACATGTTATATGGGTTCGTACAATTTTGTATGTATAATGCAACAGTGCAATGCACCGTCTCTCCATAATTGGGCCTTTTAGTCATGTGACTTTTGAGAATATACAGTATTTGGAAATTCGTGGCCCACATGCCAACACATGGGCCACATCAACTGTGGTACTCTCCAGAATAGTCAATATCTACCTACGGTGACCCTTCAACTCTGCTATGTCCATCATGTCCCCTCCCGTAAATATTTGTGTTTGGGTAGCGTATTATTTATTTGAAATAATTATTGTCATATTTTTTATAATATGACATATATAAAATTAAAAAATAAATTTAAAATATAAAAAAAAAAATTTAAAATGTGTTTATAATATAAGTAAACTATTTCGTAGAATAAATATTATTCAAACACTTATTGATAAATTTAAAGTTCTCGCTTACTCCCCTCTGTACAAATCCCTTTTTGGTCCTGTTTTTCTACTCTAAAGATTAAGACAGATATCAAAAATCGCGATCTGAATCGTAAAACTTTTGGACCTGTTGGTCTATTCCAAAGATAGTTATCAAAATCGCAATCTAAATCGTAAAATCGTCAAAAACGATCTGAATCGTGCTTAAGATCGAAATTTACTAGCAAAATTTGATTGAAGATCAAAATTGTGCTGACCAATAGGATAATGTGTTGGATCGTAGAATACCTGATTCTAATTGTCAAATTTCAAGCAATGGAAGGAAAACCGAGAAATACTTGAGATAATCTACACTATGTAGATCCTTACTATATATCATCAATGGAAATAGAAATGAGTTACTTTTGACCGTGTCAATTAAATTTTTAAATAGTCAATGGAAATAGAAACGGGTAACTTTTGACCGTATCAATTAAACATTTAAAGAGTGACATTTTATCAAATTATCCCCCATGTTACTAAACTGCTGTTTAACAAGCAAACTAGGGCTACAAATTGGCCAAAAGTTATGGAGACATTAGACAAGACTCATGGCAAAAGTTTACGATTGCAAACCAAAATTAATTTCTTCGTTTATTTTTTTTTAAGAGAGCACAGCTTTCTTTTTTTTTTTTAAACAAAAAAAAAAAGGAGCTTTGAAAGGCACAATTTTTAGGGTTCAAAAATCTAAAAAGATTTGTAGAGGTGTAAATTTGACCACCCGAAAAGGGCCAAAAAAAAGAAAAAAACTAGGACTTTGATGTGAAGCTGTTTATTGTTTAACGCGCCAACACCTGCACTAAGACGAGTCAATTAAACTTTCAATTCCTGTCTCCCGATCTTTCAACCGAAGCTTAAAAAATGAGTCAGTTATTTTAAGCAATAAATTTCAAGGAAATACGTACTATCAACTTTTTAATGAGGCAGAATCGATTTCAGAAGCAGCACAAAAATGAGTATGCATGCAGATTGTAGGGTACGTACTATCATACAACAACTTACACTAACACAAAAATCATCATCCAGTACAAAAGCATTACAAAAGCCCCCGCTTCTAATCTATCTATCCACACCCCACACTGCCTTCTTCAATTAACCTTTAAGCCTGCAAAGTACGGATCAAAACTTAGGCTCATCCATTTTCCAGCCAAAATATGAAGCAAACTAGTTGTGAATACCATATGTCACTCTACAGTTTCCAAGAATTAACAATTAAGCACAGGCTTGCCGACGCCTGGGAGGCAGGACAAAGAGTAGCTCGAGATCGGGCGGCTGAAAAAACCCACTCTTCGGTGGCTGCGGCCTCTCGCCGCCACAATCATACCGCTTCTTCTTCGGCGCTGCTGGTGGCACAGACATCACTGCAATCTGATTTTCATGACGCCTAGGCGTCGAACACCCTTCATCTTCCGGCTCCATCAAAACATCCTCGCATCCCGCTTGCACTTCCACCGTATCCATCCACTTCCGAAGACACCCAGTGCAACTAGTACTAATACTAATAGTCGAGACCCGAGAGGGTAAATACACAGAAGAGGCTGGAAGTGAAGGGCTCTTTCTGGAAGGTGGTGGAAGACTGTGTGGTGGGGAAAGTAACAGCTGTGAGTCCACGTGTTGCATGGACTCGACGGATTGTCTGACGTGGAAGGACACGTGGTACGATTACGACCACCTGTCATGGAGTCGGCATTTAAATATGGCGCCATTAGATGCGCGGGAAACAAGGCGCACCGCCATACCCCTAACATTTAGCGCCGCTCAGAATTGGAAGACATGCATCTTTTGGATAAATTTCAGCAACAGAAGGCACGGAAATGGTGAATTTAGTTGAAATATCTCGTGTCATGCTTTTTGTTGCTTCACTACAGCTAAGGTCGAATGAGGTTATTTTGACCGTTGAGGGCCTCCCGCTGTCGCGGTTTCGAGTGTCATATGACTCGAATGTTTTTGAAGGGTTAGTGGTACGGTGGGCGAGTGTTGGAAATGTGGCTTCAGCAAGTCTGTGTCACGGTGGTATGCTCTGTATGTCTGTGAAGTGCTTGTCAAAAATCCTCAAAGAGTATTTATCTTGTGTCCTGTGATGAAGATTCTGCTTCTTGTGATTTTCTGGGCTCCTCCGATAATCAAAATGTGTGGTGATTGTGAAAAGGGCCATGGCTTGGTGTGCGATCTGGGCTGCAAAGTGGGACAGTTATCCATTTGCGAGGCTAGTAGCTCCTCTCTCCCGGAACCATTGACGGTGGATTGTTTTGTGACAGAGTTTACATGCTCTGTCAATTTACTTTCTTTGAATTAGTTTTCGTCAGGCTTATCAAAGAAACATTTGGAGGTGATTTTGGCCAATGATGAAGTGCCCAAAGATCCTACTTCAGAAAATTTCGACCCAAGAACTTGTATGGAATTAACAAATGAGGTTTACATACAATACCCTCGTGAATGCTTTTTGCCAGGTAGGGAAGTTGTGTGAAGCCAGTAAGCTTTTCAAGGAAATGAAAACCATGGATGTTGCTCCTAATACTATATATATCCTACAATACATTGATTGATGGTTACAGCCAAGCGGGGAACAGTGAGACGGCGGGTCTTCTTTTTGAGGAGATGTCAGTAAATGGTATTAAGGCAGATATAATCACTTACAATGCATTGATTTTGGGACTATGTAAAGAGGGAAAGACAAGGAAAGCTGCATATCTGGTGAAAGAGCTGGATAGACAAAAATTTGATCCAAACTATTCTACCTTCTCTGCTCTTATAACTGGGCAATGTGTTAGAAAGAACCCTGACCGTGCTTTTCAACTGTACAGAAGCATGATAAGGACTGGTCGTCATCCAAATGAAGCAACTCTGGTGATGCTGATATCCACTTTCATTGAGAATGAGGGAAACGATGGAGATGCTGTGGTTTCGAGGGAGATGCTTGAGAGATCTACTTCCCCTAATCCAGGTACTTTATCAGAGCTTTGCAATGGACTTTGTCAAGATGGCAAAGAAGAAGTTCAAGTGGCAACCCGCTTGTGTAAAGAGGTAGAAGCTAGGCATCTCATGCCAGAAAGTTTTCAAAAGACTGGTAGAATCTTTAGCTCTAGACCGAAATCTTTGGACGACAAATGTGAGTCAAAAAATTGAAGCATAAAATCAATTGTGTGTTTGTGCTGTTCCTTGCTGAAGAGGAGCAAATGTCCTATCTGGCAGATATCCTACTCTTTTAGTTTGTCGACAAGGTCATGTGGTAGAGTGGTTTACTTTGCGGATCTCGCCCTAAAGTGTTTCAAATTCATCATGCCGTTTGTAAGAGGAATTTTATCTATGTATCGTCGGGACGGGGACGGGAACGGGTTTAGGCTTTGAGCACAGCTTTAAAGCACTAGTGCAAGTGCCGCAAGTCCTGCTTTGGTTTCTTGTAATCTATCTTTTGATCCCCACTGACCCAATCGCTTTGTATAATTCTCGTAACATCTTTTCTTTCCTATCACCTATAATTTATTTGTTTGTTTTGTTAGCCAGTTATAATTCCAGTATTTTGTTGATTGGGTATTCTTCTCTCTCTCTTTTTTTAGAGAATGATGGTTTCTTGCGTTGGCCCATCGATGGTCAGAACATCCCCCTTCCCCCGACCCCCGCTCGAGCTTTCTCTTGCTTGTGGATAGCATAGCACTTAGTGGTCCTCACTCCAAGAAATCTAGGATTTGAAATGGCGTCCAAAGCCAAAAAGTCAACGGCAGCTTCCAAGTACATGGGCCTACATACATCAGCAAAGCCCAAAACTGCGCAGATGGGCTGGGCCACGCAGACTACTCCTGCATTTTCGAGTAGTTATATGTCTTCTGATCTTCTTCCAGCTTGAGGCAGTAGATATATATCCAAAGACGTTCTCTGAGGATTTGGACTCTCTCCCCAATGACACAAGCAACAAAACATCTTAGTGTCTGTCCATATGAAAAGCGCCCTACTTACCTATAAACACCCGTAAACGCAACCACATATTTAATAGGGAAGGCATGTGTAACATAGCATGATTCAGGCAACCCACGTTTGCTTTCGCTGTCTCATACCTCGCTGTCCGTCTTGGCTTGTGGACTGAATTCCACCACGCAGCCATAAGACTGGAAATTTAATGGCCATCATCCGAGCTGCTAGCATGAATGCTAAAGCATTTCATTCAATGCCAGAAAGTTAAAAAACTGTTGATCTCTCACGTTTTTCTTGCGAAAAGTGAATGATAAAAAGTTTGATCCATGATCAGGTGCATGCATGAAAGTTAATGCTAATTCGAATTAGACTTGAACACTACCGGATGTATGATTGCTTGATGATCTGTCTCTGTTGTATGATTGCGATATGCTAGTACTTTATAGCAATCGAGTAGTCCTAACTCTTCTGCCGCAAAAATTGACACCTCTGCCATTTGGCAGCATGCAGATTCTGCAGTGCATGCACGCTATTGCTACCAACAGTCCAAAAACAGTTCTTGATTTGCTGCCAGCATGTTTAAGCTATAGATCGATCAGTCGCTTGCTATTTTTCCCAAAGTGATCTTTTGAGCTCAGACTTCAGAGTTGGTTTTCGGTTTTCAATAATTTGATCCTCGAGAATATAATAATAACATTTGCCCAGAAGGGTCTATATTCAAAAGACAGGATACACATCACAATGGGAGCTGTCACTTTGTCATCATGATACCTGAAATCCAAATATCTCGCAGACAAAATCCAAATGTATAAAGTTTCACCTCCTCGATCCGAACACAACACAACTTTGTGTGCGCCCCCAAAGACATCTCCCCTTCGAGAAACAGAAGTTTACTCCAGCCGAGCATTTGGGTCAGCCGGTCAAAGCTGCGTGAGAATTTAGTCAGCAAGCTAGCATTCACAAAAGCCTAAAAGACGAAAATGAATTGTACTTTGCCTTGCAACCATGCTTTCACTAACACCATAGCAAAGCAAGAGAATTCAATCAAGCATCATGCTTCTTGATTCCGATGAAAACCCAGTTGCATCATTCAGGCAAAACTTTCGCTTCTCGAAGCTCATGATCAGCTACAAATGCATAGGGAATCACGCCAACTGCCATCTTGACATGTGTTACTCAGATTTTTTCTTTTTTATTTGGGTTTCTCGACGACAGCTCCATTAGCAAGCCAGCTTCATCATCAATATCTTTGACCTACACGGGCTGGGTGAATACATCTCCATAAAAATTTCCAACAACAATAGGATGAATTGTATTGTCAAAGAATGTATTCTGTCAACTGCGGCACGTCTTCTAGTATACTACGAGCAATATTTATATGCACGTACATGCAGATTAGAGAAATCATCAGCGTGATCTTTTTCTCTCCCATTATGTCAATTCAATTGTCATCCTCTTATGGTCCTACGGTATAACTGTTGTGATGGATCGTGTGCCATGTGTATACTGCAACTCAACTGCTCCTCTATTCAAGGCAGACCTTTTCTACATAGGAGTAGTGCATATCTCTCTCTTAAAATTGATTGGCAAATTAGTTGGGATGGAAATAGAAGCATAATTGTGCTACTCTTGAGGAAATCAGGCACGTGGACCAATGAGAATAGCCCTAATGTCGTTCGAGTGGAAGGATCCGTCTTGCCGTCCGGAAATTTGAGGGTTGGGAATTAACATCCAAGTGTAGGGTGGCACGGCGGCAGCCACCCAAGGACCATAGTGGCGCCTATTCCTTCGACGGCCTAGTGCCATACAGTTTAGCTACTAAAATGAAGAAGCGCGCTCAATTTAGGTAGCCGTCATGGTGGAAAATATGAGTGATGGTCCTTGTTTGTGCCGTGTATTTTGACTAACGCTGTATCATATGTGTAAGAGCAGTGACAACTTAGCCTTGTTTGGATAGTGATTTTTTGTAAAATTTTTTTTAAAATATTTTTAATAAACATATTTTTCAATCAATTTTTTATTTCACATATATTAAAATATTACCGTATATATATATTTTTTTGTGTACAAAAATTCATAAAAATAGTAATCCAAACGGATCCTACACATTGACAATATATACTTGTTTGAATTTGAAATCTAAATTTTGTATATGTTCCATGCATCTAACCATGATATTATATACATTATTAGTGTACATAAGATTTACTCAAAAAATTAAGACAAAATGAATAGGTCTTTGCAATAAAAAAGAAAAACATCATAATCAGAATAGTTATGAGTTAGAGAAAGATACATACTAAATGCCATAGAATTTTATGTGCTCGTGCAATCGTGTGTTGTGAAAAGGCATGAAGCCTTAATTTAGTGGAGCAAATGTTAAGGGAACAAAATATACCTCAGCAAAGGCTTACAAGTTGCCCCCTTGTGATGTGGGGTGGGTAGCGGATTAATTTCTCTAATCTAAAAACTCATAAATTGCTCCTTGCACACAAATAGTCAAACATATGCCTCGGCATATATGTGTATAAATGGTCTAAAAAGACATTCATGTCCTCAATTACATAATACTTGGGCAATTATTCAGCCCGTCCCTATTTATAAGACTTCTTCTGATAAGTTAAGAAGATTTTCAGAGTTTCCCTCTTACTCCTGACAGTTACCCGTTCGAGAGTATGAGTTTACTAGGTAAAGTTCTCTTTGGATTTAAGTTCTGATCTTATCCCGAAAACTAAACTCCTCGGAACTAAGATGCCTGCAACACTGGTTCCGTTCGGGAGATGAGTCCGAACAAGACTCTTTGGGCCCTGACACATGTCTGCAGAGGGTTCCTCCCTCTACAGGCAGCGTTTGAGTTTGAAACTCCATTAGCACAGAAATTGTAGAATAATTGAGTTTGAAACCAATAAATACATCTATCTTAAAAATTTATTGTTTCTATGTTAAATATGTTTTTAAAAGTAAAATGTGATTAAAATTTGCAGTGAAAATTACATTTAAGTTGACATTCATGTTTAACTTTTGGTAGATCTAACACTCTTATGGAAGGTAATTATCATGAACTTCTAATAATTTAAGGGGGGCAATGTATGATAGGAGAGAGAATTGTAAAAATTTAGAGGGGAGGGGGAGAGGAATAAGGAACAATATTAAAAATTTCTAAACTTTCTAAACCTAAAACATAATTTTCTCAAAATTGAGGGGGTGCAATTGCAATCCCGACAAAATGCGGCTTTAAGCAAAAAATTGGGTCACAAAATTGTGTATTAATTATGCAAAGTGGAGAAGAAGAAAAAAAACTCTTCGTAAACTAAGAGTACCTTATACTGGGTACTATGCTCTTTATTTGTTCTTCAAAAAAAAAAAAAAAAAAAAGGGTCATAGGCTTGTTAGGTTCGCGAGAAGGTTATCCACAGGTTCACTGCTCACACAACTGATTCTTTGCCGGTGCAATTTTCAAACCAAACACATGGACTAAATTTGTTTGGATTGAAATTTATTTGAAAATTTTTAAAAATAATTATTATAACGTGTTTTGTAATGTATTAAATTATGCATGTTAGATAAAAGGTCGTTATATATGTCACGTATCCAAGCACATTCAGTATTATTATTATTATAATGTTTTTTTCATTTCAGATCCCAGGGAGGATGAGACACTTTTTATTTTTTTTTTGATGTGGGGCTGTAGTGTTGAAGAAAGAAAAGCTTTGCTTGATGGTCACCTAACGTCTGCGTTTAGGCAGCTGAGTGCTGTGCCATAGTATTGACCCACTGCGTAAGTTGTGCTCTACTGAGAAAGTTCCAGAGATAGCTCATACATGTGGAGATAACATTAACCCTTCGAAGTGCTTGGAGCTTAGCGGCTAAATATGGCAAAAAACCAGCATCCTATAAATTGGCCGAAGGGGCAAAGTTTCACAGAACCCAAGACCCCTCTGAAAACGATTTGTTGCGGTAGACTTCACAACTTCACAGTCTGAAATCAAATGACCATTTCAGTGACAGCAGGAGATCGCAGGCATCAGCATCCGGCCTGAACTTTTACACGTATCATACTCTCCGGGAGTCTTGCTTGCAGGGGCCAAATCCTGATGCTACATCTGGTTTACCAGAATGCACTGATCCCTGAAAAGGCAGGCTACGGGTCGAATATGCAGAGTCACGAGCTACAAGATAAGATTGGACATCGGCCTTTGCTAGTTGAGGAGGTGGAC